AACAGGCAGACTTAACATTAGTTTTTATACACTAATAGTGCAATATATCCACATATAACAGACCTTTTTCACATTTAAGAAGCACTTTTAAGGGGCAATTATATGCAATGTAAAGAGTCCACAACAGCATACACATATGCTTTTATTATGCATTCTGTCTAGGCTTAAATCCATATTGCAAATGGTGTCCAATTTAAACCGCATAACCCTGATTTTAAACAGTTATCTAAAGATATAGTTCAAGTAGTTAGCTGCGTCAGCATGCGCAGGCTGCAAAGGAAAAGGTAAAGGTCTATTCCATGCTAAAAAGAGAAGAAAAGAAACAACATTTCAGCTGTGGGGCCTTTTTTGGGTGTGATCTAAAGAAATATGCACCCTTTACTTAATATCAGTGCTAGAATATGTGCATACTATAGTGTAACTGCATTTATAATTCTCACTGTAAAATCTCTCCTTCCAGCACAATAATGACAGGGTAATTGTCACAATGTCACATTCCATTAATGTGTATTTTAGGCTTTCAGCATATATGCTAAACATAAGCAATTTAGTCTATTTATAGGAAGATACTTAATCGCATAAAGCCCCTATCCCCCCAAAAAACCTCACCTTTTTTTTCCATTTAAGTATAACACAGGAACTAACAAGTCTATCTTTTTCATGCTTTCATGCAATACCCATTTTATTGCTAATTTGTTTTATCATAAAAGTTTCAAATTTGCATTAAATAAAAATCCTTAGCTAACTGATTTGCATGGCGTTCACAAGAGGCCAAAATTCTTCAGAAATGTAGAAAATGTGTATTTATGTATTCCACTGAATGCTATATTTTCTGTACAGCAGCTGCATTAATGTTTACAATCACCTATGAGAGAATTATAAAATGTAGCTAGAAGGAATCAAGGGATACAGTGTATACATTCAGAAAGTACACCATAAACTAAACTGACAACAGTCCCTGAAACGTAGTTTTTAGTTTACTAGCTGTTGTAGTACATCATAACACACAAACCACAATCTGCAGAATTTTAACATGACAAAAAAAAGGAAAAATAAGAAAACGGAGAGGAAAATGTTTACAAAATAATGTGCAACTTATAATTCTAAATTAACTTGCATATTTTACACAACCTAACCGTGTACTGCTGTTAATGCACTGAATGGAAGAAATCTGGCATGTTAAAAAAAAACATTACACCGCCGATTCAACACTCAAATTATCCTTGTTTTTTATTGACTAACAATAATTTATCGAATATTTAATGATTATAGTGTAATTCGTTCAGGTTTTCTTATAGTAAGATTGCTAAATCAAAACAGATTACCGTGAAAGCTTTCTGAGCCTTTTCTTTGGGAATTCACTTTACAAAGAATACGGTTAGAAGCCGTCATGTGCTGCCTGTTTGAAAAAGCTAAAAAAGCAAAGATACTTGCGTTTTGACAATTAAGTCCGTCACTATGTTCTGAGAACATTTACGTCCGTAAAATAAATATTGGCGAAACGTGTTGTTTAAATAATAAATAAAGCAAATACTAAGACATGCTCGGTAAACCTTATGAAACATTTTTGCACACTAAAAATATATTGTATAACAATGATCATATTTTTAGATATTTATCTTATACCATTTACATTTACTGTTTACAAAAATGTGTTCTTTGTGGGACGCGAGCATTGATTAATTTTCAGTTAATATACCATAGTTTTCTGAACGATGTATGTAGAGCAGAGGGGGGAAAAACTCCCAATTGCACAGCGACAGTCTCAGCCGTTCCTGGTTTTACTACAACCCTCAAACGCATACACCTCTTTTTAACACAAGGTTAGAAACAGGGATCTGACATCCATAGAAACCCTGGAAAAAAAATAAGAATCCCAATATTGCGTGGTCCGCACGATTTGAACCACAGCCCCTACCCCGGGTTTTAAGATCCAGACAGTCAATGATGTGCAAGATTCAAGTCTCACCTTCGCAAAGGAAGCCGGCTAATCCCCAGATGAAGTCGCTGCAGTGGTGGCAGAAGGTCGGCTTCGTCAGTGTCACTTTCCTGAAACTGTGTCCGGGAGCCCCAGCCTGGTACTTCGTCCTGCAGCCCGGCGAGCTCTGTGCTTTCTTCCTCCCGGCCACAGGGCTGGCGCCCGGGCTGTCGGTGCCGCAGTTACCGTGCTTGACCCGCACACTGTCTGCCATGCTAAGCTAATTTTGTCTTATTTGTACACTTGCAGCTTATTTGCTTCGATATAAATAAAAGAAAAAAAACCCGACAGCGTTAGCACACCCTACGTTAACCCTCTGCGAATCATCGTGGCCATACGACTGCAAGCTTCAGTTCAGCCAGAATTATCTGTGATCATGTAAATGGCATGAATATCAGTCATACACGGCGAGCAAAACTGTTGTGTACGAGATGCCCATTGAGTCAGAAGTTTTTATTATTTTTGAAGGTCTCCAATTTCCATGAAAAAAATCGTCTTAACGCAAAATATTCCCGCAGTAATGTCGTTGGCTTCGGCTAAGTAGCGTGTAAACTAAACCCCCGACCAACGAAATGAAACCACGAAACAAAAAATCCAACACAGTTTTGCAAAAGCCTGTCAAGGTAGTGTTTACTGCCTAGCGTCGGTTAAAAAATAACACATTTAAACCTCGAAACAAAAATCATCCGGATTCCTAAAACTACACCGCATCGACAACTGCACCTACTTTCTCAAATCCAGTAGCATTTAGTTACAGAAACGCCGGATTCAAATTGAGAGAAAAAAGACACGTAGAACAAGAGAGAACCTTGCCGAGGTAGATTCACTGCTGTTTCAGTACTAAGGTTTTTGCGAGCGAAGGGAGAACAAGCAGCAGGCCAATGTATATAAAAAAGGGGGGGAAAACTATAAACTTACGGAAAAGGGGATGATGATACAAGATGAACCATAGTTGGCCCAGTTTCTCCGAACCGAAAGACGGTGGACTAACAACCGGCAGCACGAAGACGATCCCAACACTGAACTAAACCGAGACGCTGGAGCCGAATTCAGGAGTTCGTTAAAAATGTTTTTACACAGTAAAAATAATTTTCGTGCAACTTTCTTTGGTCTTCCCTCCCCCCTTTTTTTCTTATGCTCCTGTACTACAGTGGCTAGTCTGCAGCAGCAGATGAGGTTGCGAGGAACAAACACAACTTCCGCCTGCAGTTCTTCGGCGAGTTGTTTCTTTCCCTTCCCCGCTGCAGTGCTGGATTCTCCCGGCTGCGGTTTCTGTTCATAGCCCCCAGATCCAGTGCAAAGACTCCTGATTGTGACTGCGGATTCCCGTTTGACGTCGATACCTGCTGGTTGTCCGCTGTCTGCTCTCTCTCCCCCCCTCCCCAACACAAGACATGCGTCAGGAAAACAGATGCTGGGATTCCAGTTGTTGAGTAACAACACAGACACACACACCCCGGCAATTTGGTAGTCGGAGCGTGTTTGAACTCCCACTCACTCAGTCATTCCCGTAACCTCCTATCTTTAAAAAAAAGGCATTTCATTTCTTGCTCCCGCGGATGCTTTGCGTTGTTACGCATTAAAAAAAAACCTTGCAACCAAGTCATTTCTAAACCAGAAACAGTATCTGCAACCCACTAGCTTGACAAAAGGGAAGGCAGGGAAGTGAAAGTCAATTCACTTTAAGAATGTACATAAACGTGAACATTGCTCGTCAAAGGGAAGGTCATATTTTTTACTATGAAAACAGTCAGGTTTTCATTCGCCTGCAATTAACGCTCAATTTGCCCACCACAAAGAATTAAAAGGCATATCAATCTACAAACGGATTTATTTTGCATTCCGCCAAACCAATATGTTTGCTGATGTTTAGGACTATTACTCTTCATTCTCTCTCATCTTTTACATTCTTGGATAAAAGAGTGCTCGGGGGGTTACGCCATAAGTGTGAGGCCATTTAATTTATGGAATTAATTTGATATTTAATAATAGAGATCTTTATGACGATGCCCTTATTGGTTGCTAGGCAGACTAGCTCAACAATTCAAACTCCCCAACCCTCTCCTTTTTCAAAGAGACGTCTAAGACGTTATTAAATCTATTGTGGAACTGTAACTAAACGTAATGTATATAAACAAAACGGGTAGAGTTATATTTTATTCTGTTGAATACTGAGAAGAAAAATAATATCAAGTGTTTTTTTCTCCTGTGGTTAAATGCAGAGCTGAGGATCACCAATTGCACAGCACACATTAAAACATTAAAAGGAAAATCCACATCTTTATGCTTTTGAAACATGAACTACTATAGAACATTGTTATGTGTAAAATAAAAAATAAAAAACAGAATTGTAAAACCCAACCCAGCCACCCAGCAGTGCTTCTGTGTCAGTTTGTATACAAAACAGCCTTCTTTATAGATCATTAACTTCAGATTCTGCATCACCCATGAACCTTAAGATACAGATATGTTTGTTTGATTTTTTGGCTGCTCTATGTTGTGCCTGCTACTTCTTTTGTATTACCTGAATGTCAGGTCTGTCCATTGTAATGTGGCAAAGATCTGGGTATGACCGATCTAAAATCTTGATCCTGCCGATTGTGCAGGTCTCATGTAGCATAGATTACTTTCCATACGGATTGTTTCAGCTACAGCTGTGCTTGGCACTGGGAGACGGCATTCTGTTGTTGGTCATGTAGAAAATGGGTGACACACATGCGATCAGCAGTGACTCTCGCTTATTGGAGATTGTCTAAAAAGGAAAAAGGGTGGTTTCTGAGGACAAAACTTAGAGCCATAGGTATAACTCAGTAATGTTTAAATCAGTTTGTTCTACTGTTCCCCATGTGGACAGGTGTCAACTCTGGGTATCTTTATCATCATCTTATTTCTGAGATACCAACTGTTTTTATACCTTTTCATCTATAAATAAACCTCACACTCAGTTAAGGGCAATTTTAGTTAGCATCCTGTACATCATACATTGTTTTGCTTGAAAAGCCATACCATAAATGAAGTAAGGGTATAACAATGACTATATCCTTCCGAATATCAATAATGGTTTTACTATTTATTAACACAACTGCAGCACAAATCTGTGCATTGTTTAAAAAGTCAGGTGGCATAATGGACTGGAACAGATCAGCTCCATATGACTTGAGATTCAGGGTCCAAGACCTGTCAGATGTGCTCAGAGACAAAATGTTTCTGGATCCTTGAAAATCTTTTCTGCTGCAGCCATCATTATATTATCAACAGATGTGAGTGAGCCAAGACTGTAGAGACAGTCAAGCCCCTTCTCAGGTCATGACATCTCCTTCACCTCGCTTCAGAACCTGTGGCGTAGTACTAGGATGAGCCAGGAGTGTTTTGGAACAAAGCTTTATGGACAGATGAGACCAAGATAAACCAATATGATAAAGAGATCAAAGAGAAGAGAAAGAAAAGAACTTTAGAGGCTAAAAAAACACAATCCTGTGAGAAGCATAGTCCGGCATACAAAGCCATTTCTGAAGCTGCGTTGCTCATCGCCTTTGATGTAACTCATGTTTGGCCGCAGCAGGATGAATTCTAGAAGTTAAACGCTTTGTCTGCATATGTAGAAGCACACGCTTCCATACCTGGGATGTGCTTCACCATGCAACACGACAATAATCAATACAACCAAGGAGCGCAGCTACTCGAGTGCAAGATTTAAATCCAATTAAGTATGCATCTGCCAAGGCGAAAAAAAACAACAACTTACAAATACCACAATTTAAAGGCAAGATTTCCAAGGTGGCAGCAGTGGCGTGGCAAAACATCTTAAAGGATTACTTTAAGAACTCAATGGGTGGGGAACATCATGCAATTACAGCCTCAAAGGGATACATATATAACTAAATCTTAACTTTTACATCCAAAATGTACAAAAGTCTCATATTGCGATCACTTAAAATCACGTTAAATCGCGTTAAAATGTATGCATGAAATTACTCAAGACTAAAATGAGTGTAATATCATACTTAAAATTTATATTTGTCCCAAGATGGCAAATACAAATTGCTTGACTGTAAAACAAAAATAACAACTTTGTCTTTGCTGTCATAATACTGTTTTCAAGGTATTATATACCTCATATGAAATACATGTGGTGACCCTTTCTGACCTCTCAAGGAAACAGCTTTTGGAATGTCAAAAGTAGTTTGTATTTTAATGCCTTAACCATGATTTTTTTTTTACTTTAAATTGCGGGTCCAGTAATTATGCAGGACATCATCCTTAAGCTGTTAGTTTTAATTGTGATTTAGCACTGAAGATTTTTAATGTAAGACTTAAAACATATGGACAAAAGAACAATCAAGCTTGTCAGCTGGTACACTGCCAACTTCATAGTAAGTGAAACAGCAGGGTAGTTCCCACAAAAATGTGGTCATGATGAAAAACAGGACCTAACAGTGCAACATCAGTTTCGCTGCTCATTTACCTGTGGTGCAACAGAGATTAGTATTCGTTCCCCAGTCTAAACTCATTTCATTCACCTGGAGTTTTTGTGCTTAACAGTGGAATGAATCTGTGTGTAGAGAATATATGCATAATAAGAAAAACAGTTACTGTTTGTTTGTAATAAAAGGTAAATGTAACTGTACATGTGGAACTGCTTCACTAAATTACCTTTCGTTATTTGGGTAAATAAGACAGCAGATCAAAACTGGAAGACTTCATCAGGCTCCCAAAAAACTGTTCTTTTCACAAACAAAAGGTGTGAAACCCTTATCGGTGCTTGCTCTTACTATACAAATACAACGATCTATAAACACAATATTGCCAGTTATTAACTTTTTGTCAGATGAACTACCATCTGGGAAATGGAATTACCAGTTCATTTGCACTCTGCTCTTTTAATCTAGGAAAATGGTCTCCTGGTAAAATGGCTCCTATCTACAAATACTGTTGCAAAGTAAGATCTCATTAAAAAAAAGGAGAAAGGGACTTGGAAAACTGCTGATCCTTCTGGAGGGGCAAGTCATGTTGGCCAGGTGCAGAACTAGCATAAGGTTGTGAATACTAAGGGTTGAATGTAATTATCTTAAAAAAGACTTGGAATCTGGGGTTAAGGATTGGAAGGATAGTGTAAAATGGCTCTAAATTGTATTTCGAAGTATAAACTCCTTTTTCCTGTCAATGTTGTGGTAAAAAAATCATCTGTTTTTCCTAGTCTTCTTCTGAGAGGCCTCTGTCAGGTTATTTATAGTTTAAGTTCTATTGTATGACACCATAGACACAACCAAATTACCGAAAAAAACATCTTCTCAGTTCAGTATACTGCATGTAATTTTCAGTTTGTGGTAAAAGGCGTATTTCAATCCTGTGCTTTTGAAACTGAAATACAAAGAAAAGATTCTTGTGACAAAAGACAACTTTTAAACATCAAATCAGTCTTTCTGTTCTCTTCTACAAAAACGTCTTTTTTAAATGTTTTATGAGAAGAGTGTTTGCAAAGCAGACCTAAAAAGGCAATTATGGGCCCCTTAGAATAAATATGTCCAAAATGTACAGTACCATGCCTTTGCCACAGATCAAAGGTTGTGCTGTTGTTCATTAAAAAGAATCTGCCTCAGCAGAATATTTAAAAATAGCAGCACCTCAGACTATAAAGTTTAATAGACTTCAGAAATGTTAAATTGCTCAATATAAAAACAAAAGCTGAGGCAGGTCAAGATCCTTTGAATATTAACACCCACATGCAATAGTAACCTTCACTATATCCTCAAGTATTTGCTCTAAAATGGACTGAAATCCTCAGAAGTATTCAAGCTACCTTCACATCCTCACATCCTCAAATTTAGAAGATATGAAACTCTGGTGTGGTGGTACAGTGGTTAGGATTGGTGCCTAGCAATGCTGGGGCCCTGGGTTCAGTTTGAGGGGTGCAATCTGTGTGGAGCTTGTTAGCTCTCCCTATGTTTGTTTGGGTGCTCCAGTTTCCTTCCAGTCCAAAGACATACAGGTAGACTCACTGGCTTCTGGGAAAAAGTTGGCCCTAGTGTGAGCTTGTGCCCTGCAATCCCGTCCAAGGGACATCCTGTTTCTTGCTTGCAGGGTCAGGCTCTGGCTCCCTTACTGCTCTACACTGGAGAAAGCAGTTTAGAAAACGGACAGATAGTGGAACTTTATAGAGAGAACCGTAAGCAAAAAACTGATCAATGCAGGACCTCATACAGAGTGGACCAGCAGATCATTTTTCCTCTATGTGACACTTATTTTACAACACTATTAAAACACAGTTGTATATACATTTTCAGGTGAGCTGCTGATAATTCTCGCAAATATACATTTAAAACTTTCTGTAAAGCCGTTGTAAAAAGGATCTTAAAAACAACACACAACATTAAAAACAGCATAAAAATACAGGACCTGATATATATACATATGTGACAAATAACATTGCACGTATAACACATTTTAGCTCTCAAATAATAAAGTTCTGTATTTTGCTTATGTAGGGAAGTTTTGAAGGCATCAGTAATGACTACCATGCCAATGTACATAAATGTTGATGTACAGCGCCACCTTGTGTTTGCCCTAATATACACATACAG